AAATTGCTGAACTTGCGGTGTCTAGATATACATATGTCTGTGGTATCAAGCAATGAGTCGTGGTACTTTCATGTGATAGAAGCACTTCAGAAGTATGATCACGAGTGGATGTATAAGTTACATTTTCATGATAAGGGTACAAAAAATTAACAAATTTTTGACTGGCAGCTAATTTGTCCATTAAAAAAATCCAGTTTAAAAGTAATTAGCAGGGCGCGGGCCAAGTTCTGTGTACTGTTAGAGATAAGTTCATAGTTTATAAGGCGAAGACAATCAAACCGCGACCCGTGACGGGTGATTAAAAAGCAGCAAAATGACCCAGTAACCACGAGAGTGGTAATTTTATGTACCGTGGGACAGATATTATAGCTACTGTTTACTATCGTGCTTTTCTTTTAAAAATATGGGATAATTAACGTGTTCTACATAAATTTCTTAGCAGTGAAGTTACGCAGCATAGACTTCACGTTATAAATATAACAGCAGACTGTAGATGGAAAGCGATTACTGGTTAATACTGCAGAAACGTAGAATTGTAATTACCACAGCCCATTAGTTGCTTTTTGTTTTCTTTTTTATTTGCTTAAGATACTTTATTACAGTGTAGTGTATATAGTATAATAATATGTATGGTATAGCATATACATAGGGCGCACTATAAGTTTGCGGAACTGGCCGCTTACATAAACAATATTTAAAAAGTAATTAGAACATTTGAAAATGAAACTCTTTGGCTCTAGAATACAGTTTGTTTCATCTGACTGTCACTTGTTTTTACATTGTGGCCTCATTTTAGAAATTGGTTGTCTACGTCACCATGGATTTAACTCGTGAAAATTTTCGTAGTATGATTTTCTACGACCTTAAGTGTTATTTAACAGCTCAGTGGGGCATCGCTCGGCTTCAAACTGCTTTTGGCAATGAAGCACCATGCAAGACGACTGTTTAAAGCTGGTTTGCAGAATTCAAACGCGGTCGTGTGGCCCACTGCTGTGAACAACAAAAACATCGATGCTGTGCGCCGTATGATCAAAACAGACAGGCATGTGACATACCATGAGATTCGGGCATCTTTAAGCATAGGCATGAGTCAAATACAATCAATACTACACAAACATTTGGGTGTGAAAAAGCTGTGCTCTCGGTGGATCCCACACAATTTGACTGAGGCTCAAAAAACGGATCGCGTCACTTGCTGCAATGCCATGCTTACCAGGCTCAACGAAGGGGCGTCAAATTTGGTGTGGGACATAGTAACAGGTGACGAAACATGGATTTATAGTTACGATCCCAAAGCAAAGCAGCAATCGAGCGTATGGGTCTTCCGAGATGAGCCGAAACCAATCAAAGTGGCGTGCGTGAAAATGATTGCTTCTTTTTTTAATAAAACTGGACATGTGGCTACTGGTCAATTTTCCCTATACCTATACCGTTCATTTTGCTTGTGTCGAGCAACAAGGCTTTATTTCAGAATTTATTTTCTTACAAACGAAATTAAAACCCTTTGAAAAATGTATATCGTATAGTACACGTGTTCTATTTAGTTCAGTTGATATTGAAAATCTCATTAGTTTAACATGTTAAGTACCTGTTCACACCGTATAATAATCAGTGTAACGTATCCTCAATTTTACTATATATATTTTCCAAAGTTATTAATTCAACACTCACTTTTATTATATAATTCTTAACCTTCAAAAACGAAACGCAGTAATGCTCACGTTACGTTAGTGCTTGGCGGCAAAAACAGATATAGTGGCAGTACTTCCTGGACGAACTCTCACCAAACGATCTACTGCTACAAAATTTTCAAGTACCAACAAAATCATACCTGTGACATACCACTCTTTACAGAAGCTTGCTAAACAAAGTCAAAGTCAAAGTCAAAGATTATTTATTCCATAGGTAAAATAAATTTACACTTGAAAACGTCACATTTAAGCTACTGCTCGTTCACTACGCTGGCCTCCCTGAGAAGAACGAGCAAGAAACTCTAGGGATTGCTCTTTTCAAATAAACTTAAATGCTATGGAATACACTGAATCAAATTTGTGTGGATTCTGGAGCCGTGTCGTCTTTCCATACATCTTTATCTAACACGTAGTCTTCAATTTTGTAATATGATTTTTCGATCAAAATATTTTTAATGTAGTTTTTAAACTTAGGAAATGATAAACTTAATATATGCTCTGGAATCTTATTGTAAAACATTTTCAATAGTGTGATATTCATAAAATCATTTATTTATAACGAAATGTAACTGCTGAGGTATTCATTAAGTGTAACACCTTACACTAGATGAACCATCTGAGCAAACTTGATAACAAAGAAAGAGATAATATTCACGAAACTTAATGTGAGTTGCTATCATTATCTGTTTTACAACAAAAACATTATAGTGGGTCGTATGTGTGATTAACGTCAAAATAGACCTTGGTTTATAATACCTAACTGCTAATTGATACAAAACTATCAAATTAATAAAATAAATAAAATAATAGGGCTTCTGTTCGGTACACACATACGGATAGAAAATATACATGATACATTAAATCGCATATGTTTAAGAAATATTTAAAGATAAATAATTCTTTAAATTTTCATTGAATTTATATTCAATTATTTTCTGTTTGTTCGCTATTCGCTGTATTTAAAATGTTTATTGGATTGATATTGAATTATTTTTTGTGAAATTACTGCACTATACCAACTAAGCTTAGTTGGTATAGCGTCTGGCACGGCATGCAGGAAGACGTCGGTTCGAATCCGACCGGATCGAAGGAATTTATTCTGAGTGTTTTTTCTGAGTGTTCGATCTTTGTATTAATAATTATAACAAACTAGTGGAGTAATTTCACAAAAAATGATTGAATATCAATTCAATAAAAATTTCATTAATACAGTGAATAGCGACATCTCTCGCCAGGACTTGTAGCTGTAAAGGTACTAACTGGGTGATAAATCTGTCATAGATTTCTCATAGATGACGCTACGACTAAAAAGTCGTTGAAAGACCAAGTACAAAGACACGACGCAAGCACATAGAAAAATTCGTGAGGTCCGTTGGTTCGTTCCGTGTCTTAGTTGGTATAGCGTCTGGCACGGCATGCAGGAAGACGTCGGTTCGAATCCGACCGGATCGAAGGAATTTTTTCTGAGTGTTCGATCTTTGTATTAATAATTATAAATAATTCTGCCAAAAGTATAATATAATAGAAGAATTTATATATTGTTTTAGGCTGGTAACAATGCTTTTTCCTCTGTCTTATAATAGCGATGCGCATTTGCAAATGATTTCAATATTTGACTCGTTAGTATTTACTAATCCTAATGACAAATTAGTAACCTACTAATTTTTGTATTCGAATGACATGAATGACCATTCATTACTAATCCATAGATTTCATAGAGCACAACGAAGAGTATCGTTCATATCGATCACCTAGCCCCATCGAGTATGTAACCAGAAATAAAGTCGAAATGGTCATCCAGCCCTGGCAACTTATCAGGCGAATTGACCTTATATCACTTTTAAATATCAACTCTCGTTTGCACTGAAATCACAGATTAGAAAGCTCAAATAGTACAGCGCCAACAACTGACCTGTGTAGGTGTAGGTCTCCGCATATTCCAAATATTCAGTATTTATTGTAATAAAGATAATAATCTCTAATTATAGGGGGCTGTTCTGAATACCGGAAATGTGACGGGGACAGGAATATTTTGATATGGACATGGTTTCGATATAATAATCATTCGTCTCGTGCACCCAACCGAATGGCAGGGGTATTCGGTTTCAGTAATCGTTCGAATCCGGTAATCATTTGACTCAAGTCGAATGATTGTACTTGGATTCGACTTTGACGAATGATTTGGCCATTCGAATGATTAGTGTTAGTAACATTGAAATACGCGCATCGCTATCTTCTAAAAACCCTTGCAACACTATGGTTAATTTTAAGATATTAATGGAAGTACAGAACAATAGCTTTAAATTCAATTTGCTTTTTGTGTCTACATACAAGTTTGTGTATTATTACCAGTAAACATTTGTTTTTTGGACTCTTTACAAGTCAGGGCTGACTGCGATGTTATTGGTCATCAACCAGTTATGTCGAATATTAATGTCGAAACCACCCAACTATTGTTACAAAATTTATCCATGAAAGCACCTTATTTTTAATTTACTGTAGAACACTTTCCAATTTACGTTGTGTACTATTTGAAAAATATTTTCCAAAAGAAACTCGAAACCGAATTCTGCATAACAGTATGGCGCCACCGTCTATGTGGAAAAAGCACGGAAATAAAACCGAGCGTACAATTTCGTAACGAAAATGCTCCACGCACAAGCACTTTTTTATTGAATCTTCTCAGTTTACACGGTTGTTTATTATCATTGACTAATTATTACAACGTTAAATTATAATTATATTTTTATTTTCATGATTATTTTAAGTGTTGTTTTATTGAACTTAAACAGCAAATATTGGCTGTCAAACGTCTAAGAGTTTGTCTAAGTCACTCGAAGTAAATTAAAAAACTAGCTTTTTACTGCCCTCGGAACGAAAAAGGGCACAACTGTCGTATAAAGTACGCATGATTGTGCTTTTTTCGTTACGAGGGCAGTTACATAGATATATATATAGTATTTGATGCACTTTACTCCCGCTATGTAAGGCTATATTAACGTACTTTTAGAGCATGAAAACTGAAAAAAGAGAGACAATGTGCAGCATGATGTACTTAAGAATTCTGATTTCTAACACCATATCCCCTTTTGTACGACTATGCTAATGCGTTGGGCAAGGTAACTTTGGGTTATCATTCAATTTAATTTATAAAATATTGTAATATACGTACTTAAAACGTATCAACCAAATATAATTTACTATATTTGATTACACAAAGTTTCTCAGGTCTTTGTTTGTCTTAACACTAATAAATAAATCTTTTCTAACCGAGATCAAAAGGCGATCGACTTTCTGGTCTATGTACATAATTCAACCTTTTTAGCGCTCCTCTAAATATGTCCGTGAGTGTACATTCATATGTCGAATGTATTTGGATTCAGCTACGAAATCATCATTTACGATTGTAGTGTCGTGTCACCGGTAGCACACATGTATTAATAATTGTGTCAGTAATTGAGGTTAGTACACGTGTTAATGACACGTGTGTTGAAATTATAGTTTTATTACAACGAAATGGATTCACCAACGACTATTTTAGAGGCTATTGTGTTTTTGGTAAGTATTTTAGTCTTTAATACAGTAATTTATTGAATGGAAGGACTGTAAAATCAGACATTTCAGAATAGATGGAGTGGGTATATATACCTAAATTCCAAAATCGTAATGCTAATAGAGCTCTTAGGTTTTTGCGATTGTTACACATAGAAAATGAAACTATTTTTCCGGATTTAAATCGCGTATATTTGTTTTTTCAAACAAACCGACGTTAATATAGCCTCAGCTAATAGAGCTGATAATACTTCCCTTTGAAATTCCGTGGGTATTTTATTGTATTTAGTTCTACACTTTTGATGCGTGAACCAGTACCTAATTACTTTACTAGAGTAGTGTACTTAAAATAAAAATTTTGTAACCGTTACATCTTCTTTTGTGTTCTTGCCTGTTATTTTTAATGATTCGGGCTTTCAGTAGGAGGTATTATTCACTCTATGTATATAACTTTTACGTAATTGTAAGTGACATTTAACTAAGAAAAAAGTTGCAAATCTAAATAACTTTTTTGATTGAATAGGTATTATTATCAAAATCAATTATTTAAAGTAGTAGCAGTAGACCTGATTGTATAAGAATTCGTCCAAGGAAATACTGCCACCATTCCTATAGGCATTAAACTATAGACACTGGACTTGCAAATTTTATGTCGCAAGTTAACGGGCGCAGTGGCAATGCCTCTCAGTTCTTTACGATTTAAAACTCTGAGTACCACTGCAACTGTTACGGATAGACGTGTTGTTACCAGCCGCATGACGTATTCCTCCCGTTACTTGATAAAGTAAAAAAGAAATATAATTGTTTAACTGTAAAATATCATCTTTCTTATCTTATCGGCCAACAGTTATTCTTGTATTTTTTGCATGTCAAGTGCATGTGATAATTCCTAACCTTATTTAACGGCTTATTTCAACCAAAAACAATTTTTTAATGTAACTTTTTAACACTGCATTGAACAATTTTTTTGTCAAATTTGGTTACTTGGTACTTGATGCAACGGGCTGGTATCCGCAACTCGACGACAAAGCGCCTATTTTGCGTGTGTCAAACTTGGTTAATAGACATATGCTCTGATCGTAAAATCGTTACGTCTGATGGTTCTTCGACCGGCAGCAGCGGCGGCGTGATTTTTCAGATGTTTAAAACACACTAAAACATTGTTTAAATCAACCTTTGTATTCATTTTCACTTTTATTTGTACTTTAGCCGGTGTCCCCATCTATTGCCCTGAGAGATAGGGACTTCCGGGGAGACTACGGGCTCCCTGGTAAGACCAGGGTACCGTGGGCATTCGGGGCAAAGCCCTCCGCCAGTAGCCTTTCACGGGCGTCACTGGTGGACACGGACTTGAGTATAAACTTGCCGGGTTTTGTGGTTAGCTGTAGGGATGAATACGTTCGTGTGCCTCTATAGCATGCGGCAGGGGCGTTCATCTTCGTCTAGACAACAGCCTAAGGCGGGGAGACGCGCGGTTTATTTGAGTTGCCCGTCAAGTCAGAACCTATGTCCGGACATTATCGCAAGGTAATGCGACCGGCACTAGCCCGGAGAGCTAGTAGAGGATGAGCTAGATATCTCCCGTCCCTCCAACCCCGTAGGGTTCTGAGAACTAGAAAGACGCTTCGGCGTCGGAAAGTGAACGTGCCTACAGCTCCGCCACCAAAAAGGAGATTTAGTGGTGGACATTAGAGTCAACGGCTTAGCGGCGACAACCGTTCGTTGCGCAATGTACAACGGGAAGTGAGCGTGCCCACAGCTGCGGTACCTATCTGGAAAATAGGGAGGGTGCTTTACTTGCACCCAGGGCAGCCCACCCAAGGCACTAACCTTTTGAGAACCGGATGTAGTCTGTGCAAACGGGTTGATCAGGTGTCAGAACTTGACTGATATGGTCACTGTGCAGGCTTGCTAGTTCAGGTTATAGAGCCCTTCCCGTATAAACAAGAGGTTAATAAGGACGGTCACTATAAACAAAACTTATGTAGAAAGATATGGGACTGTAAGTTTACTGTAGCCAGTAAATTTTGGAATTGGAGCGGGATGTGAGCGTGCTGATAGCTCCGCCACCAAAGCCGAAATTAGATTCAACGGCTTGGCAGTGGCAACTGCTACTCGTGCAATGCATAACGTGAAGTGAGCGTGCCTATAGCTCCAGTAGCAAACCTAACAAACTAACTAAATTTACCTAACCTAAAACTTTCGTTCAAATCATCATTTAAAACATATTCTACACGGAAAGGACATTTGACTTAAATATGTACATCGTATATTTTACAAAGACTTTTAAATGCTTTTTCAGGACTTGTTCGCAGCAGGTCTGATTGTACCCCAGCTGCCGCCGCAGGCAAGGGCCCTGGGCTGCAATTATGTGCTGGTGGGGTTCATGACAGCGGTCTATGCAGCTTTCCAATTTGCTTCAGGACCTTTGACTGTAAGTGTGATTATCGACGAAACTATCACTGCTCAATCAATTTTTCTTAGCAAAATTTGTGAATAAAAGTATTGGAATTAAAACCTACCTACGCTAAATTTAGCTGCGTAGAGAGAGTATATTTAGGCTTAACATTTTTTCTATAAAAAATATTTATACTGTAACGTGCTTTTCAATTGAAATTTCAGGGTAGTCTAAGCGATCTCAAAGGCCGGAAACCTACGTTGCTGCTCACTCTAGCGCTCAGTGGTGCAGCTTACGTACTCTTAGGACTGACATCGTCTATTGCTTTGTTCCTAGGATTGAGAGCCTTGTTGGGTATGTATACTTCATTATTTCAATCTCTAAATTAAGTATTTGGAGAGTTTGATAAAGGCCCGGTATATAGATCGCTATTGATATTTATATAAAAAATAGCTAAGGTAATACCACACTGGTATATAAAAAAAGAGATATTTCTCTAACCCATCCATCATGCGAGTGCAAGACACTTTTGTGAAATAAGATCGAGAATCTTCATCTAACAGTGCTTTAATTAAATTTCATCGAACAATATTCAATTACTATGGTTCTACGATGATTTAATTCGATTTCAAGAGACAGGCGGTCTGTAGTTAATTTATTGTTGACAGCTACTCATTCATTGAAAAAAGCCTCGATGAAAGATGGCCGCCATTGCAAAATGGCTGCCCGCTCACTGCCGTCGCTCTTGTCTATGGTCGCGTTCAAGAAAATCAATTTATTAACGTAATTGTTAAGAGTGAAACTGGCTATGCCCCGCAAATCTTTATATACTAGCTTAGGCTGCATATTATATCAAATAGAACAGGAGTTTTTTCTTGTTGTTTCTTTTTTCTTGTTCTTGACTTTACTACGCCAAACAGACAAAGGAAGGAAAATCAAAATCCCTCAATCCCGCCATTAAAACCGTTAAATATTTCAAATAAATTTTCAGGTATTTTCAAGCATACTCAACAACTGGTCAAGTCTCTTGCTCCGGGATATATTAAAGATGAAAATGAGCTATCACCTTTATACAAGAAGCTTGGTACATGGAAGCAAGCTGGCATGACACTAGGACCCATAGTTGGGGGTCACATTATGGAGATGAATCCTGAAAATGGATTCACTGTCCTTGCTGTTCTCGTTGGGACCATTTTTGCTATTAATTCAGGTAATACATTGTTTTGATTAAATTGAAATTATTCACAAAATTCGCCATTCGTTACAAATCTCCTAAAAAATTTGGAAGAGAAAATTTTACAACAGCAATTACCAGTGATCGGAATAGGTATAGTATACTTACCTAAACTTCGAAGAACAGGGATAGAAAGTCCGGACTACCTCCACAACAACATTTTTTTATCCCGGATTTTTTTGAGATTCGGGAAATCACTTAAGTTCACAAAATACTAAGTAACGGGACGAACAACAAGTCGTGTACTTGGTGGTAAGCGACACGCCTGTCCCTAACAGTTGCAGTGCCACTCAGGTCTTTAAATCGCAAAGATCTGAGAGGCACTGCCACTGCGAACGACACCCTGAGGCATAAGTTGACAAGTCCCATGTGCCTGTAATTTCACCAGCACTTACCCTTCGAAACCGAAACGCAGTAATGCTCACATTACTGCATGGCGGCAGAAATAGGTAAGGTTCTACTTCCCTGGACGAATTCTTTCACAAGGAGTCTACTGCTACTAACTAATTACTTATTTAATAGTTTGTAAGGATCAATCTACATGACCTTTTTGTTGGCTTTTTGTTGACCCGAATTGGCTTCACCTTTAAAACGCTTTCGTAGAATCAATCGTACATCATCCTGGTTTTTGTTTTATTTTGAGTTATTTTTGCTACATGGAAAATTTGTATTATGCTCTATTTACAGGACTAGCAAGAAAATTACCAACCAACGAAACAAAAGAAAACAAAAATGAAGATACATCGATTCAAGAATTAGCACCAAAGCTCGTAAATTCTGTAACCAACCACTTCACCGAATCTCTAGAACAATTCAAGAAGATGAACTGGGAAACCTATGGAGATGTCTTTGCTTTAAAACTTTTATTATCTTTAGCAACTGCAGTATACTTTTCTAACTTTACCTTATATTTGAAGTCCAACTACGATGCATCCCCGGTAGCTATAGGCTATGTTACCTCACTGTTAACAGCTACAGGTGCCATCTGTGTCTATTGCATAGAATACATCAATGGTCAGTACGCTGAAGACAACGATTTCTCTGAAAGGGCCAAGCACATCTTTTCACTATTAACAGTAGCTTTAATAGGTATGGCTATAGCCCAAAATATATCACTATACGTCGTTTTTGTACTACCGCTAGCTGCAAGCATTGCTGTGGGTAGATTGGTTACTTTAGAAATGGTGCTAAGTAAGACGAATGAGAATCAAAAAGCTACAGCGCTAAATGTTGCTGAGAATTTGAGATCACTATCAGGTGTTATAGCACCGTTATTTGTTGGTGTTGTTAGTGAATTATTTGGTGTTACACTCGGTATCTATATTGCAATATCGTTAGCCGGTTTTGGTGTATATCGAATTTATAAAATCAAAGAGGGAGGTAAAACTGCTAAGAAGAAATGAATTTGTCAACTGAATTTTAAACGTTTGTGTTGTGTTTTTTTATTGAAGTGTGCTGTATTTGTAATTAAACGTTGTTAAATAAATTTTCTTCACATATGTATCCTTCATTTGTTTCTGTAATCACTGGCCAATGTTATAGTATTCTTATAGCGCTTGTGTATGATGGCGTCGTTTCGGGAATATTAACTTTAGTTTCTACTTTACATCTCTTTTATTATCAGTTAGGAAACAACAGATGGTTAAGGGTCGAAACACAAAACTGCGATGCTACGTCGCATCGCAGAAATCTACAAGATCGCACGACGCATCGCAAGAATTTGCGAGTTGCTCCGCATTGCGCATTTCGGCGATTTCTTATCAATAACAGAACCGTGGCAGTGAGATGCGTCGCCGCACGAAATCGCACGCGTCGTGTTGCATCGTGTTTCGACCCTTAACGTCAGAGAGTCTAATCCCGTTCACCATCCGACATTCGTCCGACACAATTCATATCATCAATAAGTAATACTCGACTATATTATAAGACAATGTCCAGTATGAAGCTTCATTCGCATCCTGCGTGTTTTATTTTGGTCGAGTATCACAGCTTATTTGACAGTAATTGTTTTGGACGGATGTTTGACGGAGAACAGGAATAGAACCCCAGTTTCGAGCTGTCAAATTGTCATAATTCCAAGCTCCATATAATTTTACTCATGGTACTAATGACATATGAAACTTTAATACTCTTCTCTAGGTGCGTAGATGAATTTTACTCAAAAATGTTACGTTTCCTCTCTTAATAACCTTTTATCTCCAATAATGAAACAGATAGATCCACTGAACTTAAAAACTTTAGTTTACTTTTGTCCGATTCGACGTCAATCATCATCGTCATTATCATGATCACCATCATCGTCGTCTTCTTCATCAACACATTATACGTACCACTCCTGGATACAGGTAAGGAGAGGGTTTGGGCCGTCAGTATGGTCTTATGAACTTTCTTTGACGTACAGGTTTTATCTATATGTTTTCTTTTAACGTTAGCTAGAGTTATAGCTACTAAATGCTCACAAATGTATATAATTTAGCAATTAAACTTAACCTTTTAATTACAGCAACTGTTTCCCACTAGGCTACCACTGTTCTTTAAACCCAACGTCTCAATTCGCCAAAAATACATTTTGCGAAAAATTAATTATAGTTTCAAAGAAATATATAACGTCTAGACCGATGCTGACTGGTCGCATGCACATTGTAATTATATTAATTGCTACTTGAAAATTTCTGAGTTGAAATAGAAAGAGTCATCAGAAAATTAGTAACGGTGGGGTGCAATTACGAGCGGGATATGTTAAGCAAGTGAGGTGGGGCGCAGACGCAAGCGCAGGTTCCCACGGCGGTTCCTTCCGGACGCGCCGACCCGTGACGCTACCGTCTTCAGGTAAGGCTATGAAAACAGCGACAAAATTAAGGCTAGTATTTTTTTCTGTACTTCTACTATTCGTCGTGATTGTAAATATGTACATTATTGCATAGAGGTCCCTATCTACCAAGAGGATTTCTAATAGGAAGTAATGGTGATGTTACTAGTATTTATGTGGCCTGTGGTGACATCTCTAAGAATAAATGTCATAATCATAACTTAATATACTACATGGTAGCAGTAGAGCTTCTTGTGAAAGAGTTCGTCCAGGGAAATACTGCCACCTTACCTATATCTGCCGCCAAGCAGTGGTGTGACCATTACTGCGTTCTAGTTTCGAAGGGAAAGGGTGCTGGTAAAATTACAGGCATATTGGACTTGTCAATTTATGTCCCAGTGTGAAAACACAGCATACAAGTATTTCATACTGGTGGTTTCAATATTTTTGGGTTCTTTCTAGGGTTGGCAAACCACAACATAATCATAAGCAAAAAACCAACATCATTCATTTAAATCAATACATTGACCGACTTTCAACTTAAATTTTAATGGCCTCTTTTTTCCATTTTATCATTCGCTTATTATCTTTCGAAATTATAAATAACACGAAACAGCAAACATCGTTTGTTCATTTTTAACCGACTTCAAAAAAGGAAGAGGTTCCCAATTCGACTGTTTTTTGTGTAAGTTACGCAATTTGTGAACCGATTTCGATTATTCTTTTTTTGTTAGTGTACCCCAGTAGCGGTTCCATTCAAATTTGAAAAAAATATTCCACCTCGAAGGGTGGTAAATTAGGGGATGAATCCAGTTAATTGGATACCACTCACTTTCCGTTAACCACTTCAATAAAACTTGGCAAATTGATGTCATTTGTTAACTGTCTCCGTGGCTAAACGGTTACCATGCCGGACTGCCACGCAGAGGTTCCAGGTTCGATTCCCGGGCCGGGAGAAATATTGGTATGACCTACGTTTATTTATCTCGTGAGTTTGGATGTAATTTGTGGCTGTCTATATGTGTGTCCATGGCACCCGCGACACAAAATAAAAATTCCACAAAATGTTGAGGTTGGTTTTTTTACATAAAATATTTGACTGTACTGTGCTTGTCTGCCGACCATAGAAATATTTCTTGTATCATCGCCGCCAATTCCTCTTATAAGTCCGCTGATTTCGAGTCCACACTCCGACCCCCGACGCCCAACTAGCGCCTCTCATTGTTCCGAGGTGATACACTGGCCGCTGGCCCACGATTTGAATAAGTCCACACTCACCCGACCGAAACTTTGACGATTCTTACAATTATCTTTCTTCGTAATTTTTTTTATATAATACCAAGTGAAGGGACGAACAAATCAACAATTGCGGTGCCACACAGAGCTTTAAATCGCAAAGTTAGAGGCACTGCCACTGCGCCCGTTACCCTGAGACGTAAATTGACAAGTTCCATACGCCTGTAATTTCACCAAAACATGTCCCTTGTGAAAAAGGAACTTTTGCAAATACATTCCTCATAGTCAATAATTATCTTCCACGGGTATTCCTACACGGGTCTCCTCTAAGTAGATAGTTTAGGCTATAGCCCTGTAGCCTACCTAGCCTTAGAAAAAAGAGAATGCGGAAAGCTCGGCCCACGAGGTTTATTATACGCCACATAGATTTAGTAAATGGTACTCAACAAGACTCAAGGCGGTTACAATAAAAAAAGACCACATACGTAGCTTTCATCGGAATCAATAAAATATAACCTAACTCGTATCACGGCATGTTGTTTTTGCCGTAGCACCTGCGCACGCGCATTCTCGCTCGTGCCCACTTGGACATTTCCGCCGTTTCATGTTTTTATCCTTGTAATACATTATTTATCTCTTGTTGGTTTATTAAATGTGCTGCTTATTCTCCTGTGGCCATTCATCATCATAACTATTATGTGCCAGCCATAAAATAATAAATATGTAACTAATTATCTGGACCACGCGGAGGTTCATGGTGGTACATTTATTTCTCTCGTGATTTGGTGTAATTTGTGGATGTCTATTTGTGTGTCAATGGTACCCGCGATACAGAGTTTCCCTAGCGCGGGGCTATGAGTGTAAAAAAATGTATATATTTCTCAAATTTGATACATATCGCAGGTGAGGTTTTCCATTATTCAAATTTATGCTTGTGTTGGAAAAGACGCACATTCCCTGAGCTTTAATAGAGAACTTGTAGCCAATCAACGGGTTAGTTATATATACATATATATATACTCGTGCAAGAAACAAAATGTGCTGTCTCACGTCGAAAGCTCGCGAGATGCACTTTAAAATTGACATATACTTTATTTGTCAACGGGTTAACAAAAATGTTAATCCAAGCTTATTTCAATACGTCACAGAAAACCACATCCAAATTGGTTTACCCATTGTGAAGACTGGCGTGTGCAAACGCACCTACAAACAGATAAAACTCAAAAACTGATGATATATATTCAGTAGCGTGTCTTTAGTAGGTAGCACTGGTTATTAATTAAAAACTAGAAGGACAAACGGATTAGGATTTTACTATATAAATTGATTTAACATTTATTTCCCATTGAAGTATACAATGTGTACTTAAAATAAGTTAAATAAGCACAATTACATTTGAAATGTGTAAAAGATTATAAGCCCAACATTGCCGTCCACTAACTAAAACGCGGCTTTAGACTTTAGAGTAATCCAGTTTTAGAATATTGAAATTATTTAATGATATTTCTTACGCACTAATATCGTAATGTACTATTTTAATACAGTTGCTCAAAACGTGGTATTTTTCGCACTACAAATCGTGCCGAAAGTTGGAATTTTCGCACTAGTGCTTTTTACTTTTCCATTTTTTTTTAAATTTACTGTTTCATTCAAATCTTAAGCACAGAACTAAAGAAGTTGTATATTTATGTGCTTTGTGACGTAAGCCATTCGTCATTAAAACTTATATTTATTTACAAATACTATATAATGAACGTGAGTGGAGGTCCACAGTCTCTGCCTACCCCTGAATGGGTGATAGGCGAGATTTTTATGTATATATTTGTTCTATGTATTACAGATAAATTGTATCTCACTACCGTGCACGGGTTCCTAAAGAAGTTTAAACAAAAGTACCAGGACTTCATAATAAGAAAAGTGGTTACAGACCGATGCAGAAAATAAACAAAAACAGCACGTTAGAACTAGATTTCCATAGACTTTTAAATAATGGTTGCAGTGGTTGTATTTCATTATTTTAATTTACTAGCAGAAAATGAGTTTTTTTTAAATACTGTTTTATTTCACTTTCAATGTAGTTTTTTCGCAAATGTATTAAAAAACGTCGTTTGTTACACGTGCGGATTTGTCATTTTCACTTGTCTCGAGAAGCCTCGAGACTCGTGAATAATGACTAACTTTCCGCACTTGTATCAAAAATAACTATTAACTGTTTTGAAAAGGGAATTTTGTGCTCTATCTTTTGCTATTCAAAACGGATATTTGACCATTTGTCACTTAACCGCGTTCTAGTTAAGTAGTGGACGGCAGAACATACAAAGTATTTTTAAAGATATCTAACGACTTCTGTTATCACGTCTAATAAATAATTTGCACTTTGCCAATACCCGATGTGACATATGCGCAAGAGACGGCTCCCCAAGATCCAGCCTTCAACCCGTTCTCAAGCACGATATTCCCGCTTTTGAAGATATTAACTTTGATGCTGATCCTGACAAGTTGCGACGCCCAGCCGCACACCGCGTCGTAACCAACAGTACCATAATATTCCTTATGATCTGTGGCCTTCACGTAATCGTGCAGCAGCAAATAAGGTACAGCTGGAAATTATTATCAAAAGTTACTGAAAAACGTAGCAAGTGTCTGGTTTCAAATTTAAAAATGGTCTTACCTAGAAGCACCAAAAAAACTATGAGTTATGAGTTCGATCCGGACTCGCATCTCTGAGTTATTCAAAATTTATGTGCGAATTTTAACTTCAAATTGACCATAAGCTCGATGATTATGAAAAACACCAACAAAGTGCTTTTTAAAATTCTTTTTTATTATTATTGGATGTGTAAAGAAAAGTCTCGGTGAAGGTAAAATGAGCTGGGCCTAATTTTTCGTAACGTTTAAGACATTAGATGGGTTCTATATTTGAGGTGTGAATCTTAAGTACTATTTCTCTTCTTCTTCTTCTTTTGGGCAAAGATATTTATTTAGTAGCAGTAGAGCTCCTTGTAAAAGAGTTCAGGGAAGTACCTTATCTATTTCTGCCGCCAAGCAGTAATGTAAGGATTACTGCGTTCCGGTTTTGAGGCGTAACAGTGTTGGTAAAACTATAGACACGTAGATTTGATAACTTTATGTTTTTTTTATACGTGTCAGGCACATGATGCTATTCCACCTGATTTAAAAGGTTGACACAATCACTGCCCTAGTAACCTCCACCCTGCATGCCTACAATAGGCGTCAAGAGCGACGCTTATGTCTCAGGGCGCAGTGGCAGTGCTTTTCAGATCTTTGCGAGCTCAAGCTCTGAATGGCACTGCACTGTTATGGTGTCTCTTTACCACCAGACTCACGACTTTTTCGTCCCGTAACTTTGTACTCCCGAATACATAAATTGAGGCGCCTTGCGTTTTTATTTTTAATGGTCCGGATATTGTTCTCATCGAAGAAAAAGCTTTCCACGGTTTTACGAATTCAAATTTTCAACAAGGACCAATGGAAATGATATTTAGAATATCTATTTAAAATTGGATAATAATTTATGATCAATCAAATATTTTTTAAACTTAGAGTGTATATAAAAAACACTAATTCATAAACGTTACAAATGTGGCAGAAAAGTATTACAATTTCCAATTTTTTAAATAAAATCAAGGGACGGTAAACTACGCGCCTGTCCATCAAAATAAAATCTAATCAAAATAACCTTTATTTCATAGGTAAGCATTATTACGGTTGAAATCGTCACATTGGTTAAACTCTACCGCTCATTCGTAAGGCAGATTCCCCTGAAAAGATTTTTTTTTGTTTTGCTTTAAAACATCAGAGATCGAGACTACCTCCATGAGCCAAACGGGTTACTACCACGGATTTTTGTCATCCAAGTACGCAGAAGTTGTATAATAACCTCTAGTATAAAGTTTTTGTTTCACTATAGTTTTAAACCTCGTGAAAGGCAAATTTTGTATATCAACCGGAATCTTGTTATAGAAGCGTATACATTGCCCCTTAAATGATTTTTTGACTTTGTGAAGACGACTATCAAGAACAGCTAGTTTATTTTTATTCCTCGTATTAATGTTATGTCTGTCACTATTTTTCATAAAGAGATTACTATTCCTCTTAACATAAATTACATTTTCACAGATGTACTGTGAGGCTAGTGTAAGAATATCAATTTCCTTAAATTATCTCTCAAACATACTCTAGGGCCCAGATTGTACATTGCCCTAACCGCACGTTTCTGCAGGACAAAGATTTCATTGATATCGGCGGCATTACCCCAAAGCAAAAAACCATAAGAGTTACAGTGCCACTCAGAGCTTTAAATCGCAAAGATCGCAAAGGGGCACAGCCACTGCACCCGTCACCCTGAAACATAAGTTGACAAGTTCCATGTGCCTGTAATT